GAAAATTATATAAAAAAAAAAAGAAAAATAGATATAATATTAATTAGAAGCATTTTTTTTTAAAAAAAATGTTGAGAATTTTTAAAATATCCAAGATAAGAAAATTTTAAAAACCTTTGGGTATCATTTTTGAATTATTATGTTATATTTTCAAAAGTTATGGAACTTATGATTAAAAGAGCTTTTAAATTTGTTTTTAAAACTTATAGAACCTTTGATGAGATGAGTTTTTTTTTTTTAATTAAAAAAATCTAAAAAAATTCAAAAATAAAGAAAATCTAAAAAAACCAAAAGTTAGATAACTCAAAAAAATTTTAAAAAGTAAAAAAAAAGGGCAAAAAAAAACTTTTGAAAGAATCGCAAATCATTAGCTTTGGATAAAATTATTGTCTATGTCTTTATCTTATTCCTAATTCTTAGTAATATATAAAGAAAAGCAACTGTAGCACTTAATTTTGTTCAGGTTGATTCAAGTTTATTCAATTTTTGTGCTTAGTCTAAATATTTCGATTTGATCCAAATTATGCATTCCAATTAGATTGAGCTCAATTAGGCTTTGTTTTAGATTAATCATTTTTGAACCATTTTTTACAGAGACTCAAACCTAAATCCCTTTCGTTATTAGGTCAATTTTGAGCTAAGATTCGAAAACCCAATTCAAGAAGCCTAAATATGATAATCAAGGCCCAAAATCCATCTTAAGGCCCAATTTCATTTTTATTTGAATTAATTAAAAAAATTAAAAAGAAAAAAAAAAGGACAGATGGTAGTGGCTGACAAACAATTGCATGAAGCACCATCTACCCACTTTATGCCACAACAAGCCAAATTTTCAGTTTGATGCAACAATTTTGTTGCTGTAATTCTATGGAACATTGAATTCTTGTTTCATGTTACACAAATTCATAGATATACATACACAGGGGGTAAAAAACACAAAGAAAAAATTTTTCAAAAATTTTCATAAAACCATCATATCTCTATTTGGCTAAAATACAGCTCCCCTTACAGCAAAAAAGAATTCATAGCAAATATTAACTTAAAGTATAAACTAGTTCGACCCCAACCAAGAAATAAACCTTACTAGCTTGATATACCCTACCCCCTGCCTGCTATTAAACCAACCCATGCCACCATCAACCACCATCAACCACCATCATTCAACCCAATTCCCATCGCCATTTTCCAAACCACCACCAAAAAAAGCAAACCCACACAAGCCGAAGCCATCAACCCTCATTTTTTATCATTAACACAACCCACACATCCATAGACCAAACCTGAAACCGACGCCCTCATTAGACTTCAACTCTTCATTAAAAACTCACTACTACCACTGAGCCTAATAAACACCACCAATATCTATTTTGAACCAACAACACAAGAAACAAACTTAATAAGAGAAAAAATTCTTCTTACACCTAAAACATATCCTTCCCTAACCAAAAACAACCAAGCCAAACATTACCTCCCTTCTCCACTAAAATCAAAACCCACTATCAAGCATAAGCAATTAGAATAAAACACATCCCCTAGGAGTAGGGAATAGCAAGACCAACAGTAGTGACCAAGACCCAATAAAGCAAACAAAAAAAATATAAAAAAAAAAAGATGAATGTTTTGGTTCTTGGATTTTTTTGGGTTTACGAGCATTTTGGGAAGAATATTTTCAAGTTTGTAAAAGAAGTAAGAAAAAGGAGAGCCATAACAATGGCGATGGTGTTCGAATGACAAGACTTTTTGGCCAATTAGCAATGGTGAAAAGGTAGATCTAGGGGAAGAGAAGAACGTATCTCGATTTTAGCTAAATTAGACTGTAGAATAAGAGTTTTCGACAATTTGAAATTTTAAACTTGGATATTAGATAAAAGGTTTTAGTTGGTTTTCAAGTGGAACTAGGGTCAGAAACAAAAAAAAAAAAGGGATCAAAAGGAGTTTCGAGTAAATTTTGGGTCACAAAAAGAGCCAATCGGTGGTGGAGTGCAGTAGCCCACACTGTGGCCAACTATTAGAGCGACGGTTGGTTGGAGTTGGATAGAGTGCAATTGGAAGAAAATGAGATTTTAAAAAAAAAACAGAGAGTGAAAATGATTTGAAAAAAAAACATTTGGCTTTAAAAAAAATGTGTACCCAAATAGGTTAGACCCTACCTGATTTGACTTGGCGATCCGACTAGTTCAAGCCTGACCCGTTCCAAGTTTAACCTAGAAACCTATCTCACTTTAGGTAACTTGCTTGGTTTTTACTCTTGGGCCTCAGTTCAGAACCCAAATGAGGTATACCATTTTTATAAATATGGGCTTTTCATTTTTATTTCATCTACTTGTTTTAAATTTAAAGAATGGTGTCTTGATCAAAATAAAAAAGTTAATGCCTAAGTAAAATTTATTATTAAGGAAATTATTATTATTATTATTATTATTATTATTATTATTTGGGGAATAAAAAATAAAATAGTATTTTTAAGTAGAAAAATGATTTTAGAGACCCTAACTATATATTAGAAGGAATTTAAATCATATTTTGAAAGATTAATTTTCTCCAAATTTCGCCTAGATATTGAAAAATAAAAAAAAATCCTTCACAAAATAAATAAAAATAAATAAATAATTTTGCATCCCTAATTTTCTTTTAAAAAGGAAATAATGATAAAAAAAGATTAAATACATATAAGATAAATCAAATTGGTTATTTGAGCGTTTCAGTTTATATTTGTATCATTTATTTGACTTTTGTTGCATTATTTCTTAAAAAATATGTGAATTTGTAAATGATAATTTTGAAAATTAGTTTTTATAAACAATGGTTAATATTCCTACGTAAAAATAGTCGTTGAGACCCTATCTAAATATTAGAGGGCTTTTTAATAATTATTTTTTATGAAAGAATATTATACTAGATTTTAAAAAATATCGTGAAAATTCTAAGTGGAGAAAAACTTTTCATAATTTCACTTAGATATTGAGAAATTAAGAAATATTTTGAAACTAAGGATTTTGATTTTATTTCTAAATAAATAAATAAAATTTAAATATGTTTTATATAAATTTAATTAGCTGTTTGCATTTTAATTTGTATTTACATTATACATTTGCCTTATATGAAATATGCTCACATTTTATTGCTTTCAAATATTGATAAATGGTAGTTTTTGGAGAATTGTTTTAATTAAATAAAAAAACTAATATTCCTAAGTAAAAATAATTCTTGAAACTCTACCTAGATATTAGAATACTTTCAATAATTATTTTTTATAAAGGAATATTATGTCCAAATTTTGTGGATTATTATTAAAAATCTCGTATAAAGAAATATTATTTGAAATTCTGCCTAGATATTAGAGAATTAGAAAATGTTTCGATACTAAAGATTTTAATCTTAATCCTAAATAAAAAGGTTTTTTTTAAAGAAAATGTAAAAAAGATTTTCATGGAAATGAAATTTGAAAGAATCATTTTTAAATATTAGAATTAAAACCAATTTTATCAATAATAAGGAAAACATTTGACTAATTGGTACCTTTTTTTTTAAATGGATATTGTAGGATACTAATTATTTCTCACGCATAAACTGTACTCTCGAACTTAATTTTAATTTTTTGTAGATCAAAATATATTTTTAATAAACTTTAAATTTGTTTGTTATTTGTTAAAAAAAAAAAGATAAAATTTTTAGGTAACCAATCATATATATAAAAAAGATTGGTGTCATTTTTATCAATATGATAGGTGAATGCTTAGTAGGTTGATTTCTCAATGCAAAACACAATCAACCATTAGGTTTCATTGTATCTTCAAAATTTATCACCAATAATTTTTTTGCATATCAATTAATCAAATAACAAGAGTGAATAAAATCTTAAGAAAAGTGATATTGTTACATGCTTTGATTTTATTTCTTAATTTTCAAACCCCATGTTCTATCACACCATTTTGAAAGTAAATTTGCCTTAAAATAATTTTGAAAATCATTCTCCTCGATGATAAAATTTTTTATCTTTTGGTTTGGCCAACCCAATAATGAAAGTTTCCTAAAAGGACTAGAATAGGCTATCAGATCTTCTTTCTAAAGCGATTTAGACAACTATTATATATCTAAGGTCATTATTAAAATAATTTTAGAAGTTTTCCTTGACTTTGTTTGTTTTAACAAACTATTCGAAATGTTTTAACTCTTTTAAAATAGGTCCAAGTTAAATACCAATGATTCGAAACTTTTTTTTTTTTTTTTACATATTTTCAGAAACCCAAACCTCAATCGTATGAATATATATAATACAAGATTTCAATTTAGTAAAATCTATATTTTAAATTAAAACATATATCATAGTTTTATCAAAATTTGTAAATGTGAGTTATAACAAAAATTTTGTATCGATCTTATAATCATATAATTTTGTGAAAATTTTATTTTGATGAAAATATTATAAGATGAAAAGATCTTTTATATATTTTAAGATCCAACCCATAATATGGGGTCAAAAGGTCAAAACAAATTATAGTTTTTTACAGATTTTTTCAAAAACTTCACCATTTATTTAACGGCTTTAAATGGCTTAAAAAATGCTATTAAAAGTCCAATTTTTGAAAGCAAGATATGTAGGCGGATTAACTCATTAAATTCTCATTGGAATAAGATCCACACGAGTAAAAGCACTTGCTATTTAGTTAGTTATTATTAGGAGTATTTTAAAAATGTCCGGATCCAAATATGATTTTCAAATTAAGATTTTAATTAACACATGCTGCCAAAAACAGTGGCCATACCATAAGCAGAAAGGAGGCTCATAGGATAGGATGGCATAGGCAAATAGAGCTTTTGCACAATTTCTTAACCAATTTGTAGGTAGTGAGTATGATTTAAGATTGGGTCTGTTCAAGTCAAGAGTCGGTTATTGCTTTGCTTTTTCAAGCTAATCTGATTCTGAACTACCTTATTAATGAGCTCTAATCAGATAGCTGTTTACTACCGAAAGCTATCAACTAATCAGAACTCACCATTCGCTGCCTACCACGTATTACAGCTGTTTACTTATTTGGACAGTCCAAAATAAAGTGACACTCCCATCGAGTCTTAGATGTAAATCCCCTTCCTAATGCTTACCCTAATCTAGTTTGAATGTAGATTGGTCCCCCAGCTCCTCCCGTCCTAACATTTTCCTTCACATCATCCACCCTCGACGTGAAATTGGACGAATAGCACACTAATTTGTTAATTTTAACAACTCTCATATGTGATACATTAATAAAAATCAAGAACATGAGAGTAATATAGATACGGGAGAGTGTAAATTATAATAATTTTGATTTCTTTCTAACAATAAATGAGAACAGGTTCTCATTATTATTCATTTACTACTTGATGGGAAAATAATTTGACGAAAAGAAGGAAAAGAAAATTTTAATGTATCTATATAATAGAATCACATTTTAATTACTTGCATTCTGGAGGTAAGACTTTAAATCTGGATGTATCTTTACAGTATGAGTAGAACATGAGCTTCCTTCTTGCCCAATCCATGGCGGTTATCTGTTGATTTGATAGCTTAACGAAGTCAGGTCCTTCGACAGGGTTAATGCTTGAAAGATTGGCGTTGGAACAAGATGAACCAGGCTGCGTAGGATTTGAAATACAGCCAGCCATTTCCATGTCCATAAATGAAGCAACAAATGGAGCATACTTGTAATTGACTGGGTATTTCCCTCCATGAGTTGCCCATTGCGACCCATCCCATATGGTTACATAAAGCGACATTGGCTTTGATGGATATGCGGTAGAGAATTTGCCTGTATTTGGGAACTCTCTCACTGGTATATTATCCACAAGGAACCTGCAATTTTTTTGTTCATTAATATTCCAATATGTTAATTAATAATTTCAGGCTTCTTCTTGGGATGGGGATCGAATTCAAGAGTCTTACACTATATGGTGGCTGTTCCAAAGAATGCTGTAGTAATGGTGCTCCAGTGTTGGATCAAACCAGAAATAAAATTTCTCTTCTCTACCGGTGCTGACTCCATTTGCATAGACATTTGTTTGGAGGACCCAATCAATTCTCTTATCATGGCCAAGCAGTTCAATATCAATCTCATCATGGCTATGAGGATACGTGTCTGCATTAGACAACTGCATATATTCCATTTTCATCAGAGTCAGTCAATGCTTTTAAGCAAGTTCAAGTCCATATATATACAAAATTTAAAATGTCCATGAAAAGGAGCTTACATAGAAGGCAACCACAACTCCAGATGTGAAACCTGCAGGCAACTTTATTGCTGCATTGAAAAATCCATGGTAATATTTGTTCCTGGAAGCCAATCCTGACCCTGAAAAAGATCATTGAAAGATCCAACTCGTATTCTGAGAAAGGCATGCTATTTTCTGTAAAAATTCCAAGGTCCTGATTAATTCACCTGAGGTTTTGTCTAGAGCAAGAGTTGCCATGGAACCATTGTTCATAAGCTTGATATTTGGTCCACCAAAAGAGTTAGAAAAACTTTTATCAACTGAGACATGACTAAACAAGTCAGTTAAACGTGGAACGCTGGGAGTGGTGTAATGCCTGCTGTGTGAAGAAACCACACTCGTCATGCAAAACAATGAGAGACAGAGAAACAAAAAATGTTGCAATATAGCCATGTTTCTCTCTAGATTGATGATATGAAGGAAAAGAGATTAGATTTGGTTATATACGGAAGGAAAAAGCGTAATCTAAATTCTAAGCTTAGTTGTTTCTAGCTGGCGCCCAACCTTTCCGGGTCTCTTTCTGTGTATGTGGGATCCGTGACAGTGATACCGTGCATTCATGTGGGTTGATTTTGAGATGTTTGGCACACATCACGTGGCACTGCTCAAAAAGTTGGACCATTTGATTTCAACACTTACTAAAGTTGATGGGCCCTAAACCAGAAGCTTTAAAGCTAATTCTTTTCTTTTTTTCCACTTCTTTTTCATTTCCTTTTCGGAGTCGTTAGGCTTTCTTCAAGCTTCAATTGAAAGAAAAGTAAAAAGAAACAAATTTAAACAGTTCTTTGGGGTGTAAAAAAATCAGCACATCTGGGTGTGGTCCAAAGATTCTCATGGGCCTGGACGAAGAACAACTTGTTTGTCTGTAATGAGGTGGGTTTGTTTTCCTGGTTTAGGCGTTGGAGACTAAAAAAGAAATAGGCGTCTTTGAGTTTTCTCATACCTTTTAGTATTTTCAGTTTCTTCCAACTGGGATTTTGCCTTTTGGGACCGCAGTTTGATTTTGATACGCTCATTAACGACAATCTAGGCGGCTGTAGCATATCACTAGCATTTCTAGCCTGAGTGAAGCAGACAAAAGAATAAACTTGTTGGCCACGCAGGCAAATATGCATTGCAAAAGCAAGGTTGGATACCGCTGTTTGTTGGCTACGGGACTATATCCAATATCCAGTTTCCTTTAACCCATTTGCCATCCCGCTTGGCCATTCGCTTGTTATTTTTTGTTACTCGGCTTCGTCCTTACTCCATTAGATTGCTTATGTAAAATAAAGTTTTATTATACAATGATCTAATACACTCATTTCACATAATATATAAATTTTTAAAATTTTATTATTACTCATAAAAATTTTACTGTTTCTTCTAAGTCCTTCAAATAAAAAATGAGAATGTAAAATGAATGTACCTAACATTATTCGTAATCTTGAAACTCGAAGAGACAGTCAAAAATATTTAAGTAGTCTCTTCTCATTTTGTATTTTTTTAGGCTAAAATAATATAAAAAAATTACTAAACTTTATCACTTTACTTATATAAGTTTACATATTTTTATTACACTCAAAAAAGTAATTGACTTTTAATTTGCTTTCACATAAGTGTTTAATCTTAATTTGTATCCAAATAAATTTTTAATCTTTGAGCTTTTAATTTGTATTTAAATAAGTTATTGACATTTAATTTGCTCTCACATAAACATTTAATTTTAATTTATATCTAAATAAACCTTTAACTTTTAATTTGTATCAAAATAAGTTTTTAATAAAAATTAATTTTTATTTAAAATAAATACTTATTTAGATACATAAAAAAAAAGTTTATTTGAATACAATAAAAATATAAGAGTTTATTTTAAAAAATAAAATAGTACAGTGACTTTTAATTATTTTAACTTTTATAAAATTAAAAAAAAAAGTTTTATAAAAGTTTTAAGTGTTTAAAAATATATTTGGAAAATTTAAAAAAACGGAAAGAGAAAATAAGATAAAATGAGTAAGAAAAATGATCTTATATAAAACTTTAAAGCTTGGAGAACGACAATTGATACATATTAATGAATTATAAATAAATTATTAAATTAATATGCAATAATTGCTTAAATAGACAGTGTAAATTATTTTAATTTATGAAATTTAAAAATTTATTCAACAATAAATACGATAATAATCCATTTAAATATTATTGAGAAGAAAAATGCATATCATTATTTAGGCTTTATTGGGAGATGGATGATTAAGAAAGTTTGGCCGTGAATCGTGAGTAGACATGTCTGTTTTCTCATTTTTAGTGTGAATTGAAATTGAACAAATTGGCCAGAGGTGTTCTAGCTGGCTTTGACAGATGCATGATAAGACGGTTGTTAGTTCCGCAAACGGACATCATATGCATTGATTTCCAATGGAAGTTGCTAGTACAACTGCCTTGGAAAAAGCTGAGATTCTAAATAATACAACTTTGAACCGGCTAACGGCGTGCTAATTTACTTGGATTTTGCAGTATATCCCATGCAAGTTTCCAGATTAAAAATTTTCATAGGAAGATTTAGATTTTGTTTTGGAAAGAAAAATGGAGCCACGCCTTTTTTTTCAGATTTTGATTGATTCTTTTGTATATTAAACTATGATGACATGTTGGGAACACTTCTGTCGTCAATAATTTTATACAAGCTTCTTCCTTTTCTATGAAGCTTGAGTTAAAAAAAAAATGTATTGTTTTATTGTAATTTTATTTTAAGATTTTTGAAAATAAGTTTGTAAGACTATAATATTACAGTGACGTAAAACTCATTTCTCAGCTGTATTGTACAATTCTTTTTCCATGTCACTAAAAAGATTGTGGTACAGTTTTTCTATGAGCATGCATTAAGATTTATGTCTCCTATACTTCCCCTTTAGAACTTGAGTATATGATTGTTTCACGGGATGCAACTGGCTTTGCTTGTGTTGAGATATGAATTGCGTTTTGTAGTCTTGATACCACTTGCTCCATGGATGGCCTTTCCTGCTTTATCCCTGTGCATGACAAAGCTAGCTTGAGTACAAGGTCAAAAGCTTCTAATGAGTATTCCCCATTAAGTTTCGGGTCTGCAAATTTGGTTATGTCACCCCCTCTAGTGACGTTTTTTGCCTGAGAATTAGTAGGAAAGTGCATTAGGGATTTTAGTAAAGATGGACATCCATTATAAACTTATTGGAAATTGTTGGTTACCATTTTACTTAGAGGCAATGGTCTGTGCAGATTCAGATTAAGCACCCTCTGCCCTGATAAAAGTTGTAGAAGTACTATACCAAAACTGTAAACATCACCAGAGGCATTCACACGGTGGTTTCTACGGTACTCAGGGTCAACATAACCAAATGTTCCCCTCACTTCTGAGCTCACCTGGGATTGACCTATGTCCATAACTTTAGACAATCCGAAATCTGCGAGTTTTGCTTGAAATTTATCATTGATAAGGATATTTGTTGGCTGTCAAAAGACCATCATATACCGAAATTAGATATGACTGATGATTAAAAGAGATAAGGAAATAGTGGATTCCTTGGTCTTGAATGTACCTTGATATCACGATGAACAATGCAACCTTCAGGATAAGTGTGGAGAAACCAGAGGCCTATTGCACTGTCAATTGCAATCTTGAGTCTTTGAATCCATGAAAGAATTTTATCCTTTCCTGCTCAAAATCTTTGTGTGAGTGGTTTTTCTTGCAACAAAAACAGTATATGATATTAATTCCACATACCATATAGCCACTCGGAGAGGTTCCCATGATGGCACAGTTCGTAGACTAGGAAGCATTCATCTTCATTCTTACAATAGCCATGCAGAGCTACAAGGTTTGGATGCCTGATATGAGATAGGCTTCTGACTTCCCTGACAAAAGTTTCTATCTGTCCATCATTGATTATGTGCTTAACGGCAACATGCAGACCATTTGAGAGAATACCCTTGTACACTTTTCCTGGTCATAACAGAATGAAATCAGGATCTGAGGGAGAAAAAAAAAGTGCTAAATTCAAGTTGTGTTGTGCTTATTTTCTTTGTCAAACATTAGGATTCTATGAATTTGTCCTAGGACCTCATACATTATAAACTAGTATTCTCTAGGTCCAAGACACAATGGTTTCACAATGTCAATCACCATCTACTCTGTTTTTACATACAGTGACTATTAATCAGATAGTACCTCTGTTAGGATTTCCTACAGCGCAAGTTAAAGACTTGAATTTCAAGACGCCAACCAGAAGATATTCTGCAGCAGTTGCCTTTATGCTTGCAGTATTGGAATTAAATATTTATTGCAACATGCATATGCAAGCCTGTGGTGTGCAAACAATAATTGTGCATAGTGCCATGCATCAGTCTTGTCCTTTGAAAACATTGTTCAGCTTTTAATTGGATGCTGCATCAGCTGCAGCCCATTCATTATCTACTTGTATTGTTAGCTGGTAAGGACCTAAAGATTTCCAACATAGTTTCATTTAATGCTTTTTTATTAAGCCATCAGTCCAGAATTAAAATTTCATAGATACTGAATTGTAGGTAGGCTCTAACCAGCTATCCCTTGGCCAATGAAGTTTGATGCATTGAAATAATTTGTTGCTGAATAAAGTTCTTTCACTGAAATCTTCTCAGAACCAGAATGCTCAGAGAATGAATCATCTGATTCTGTCAAGAAGAAGAAAAAGAAGAACAGCAGCAATTGCTATTAGTAACCTGTTTTTAGACTGGTTGAACTAATTTTGCGGAAAAAAACTACCATCTGTCCCAGCAGGGAGGCTTTCTTCTTTCCTTTTTCTGAAGAAGATCCATGCAGCAACTACTAATATTATCATAGCTCCCACTAACCCACCAAGTAGAATCCACAAACCTATTAGGATCAATAAAAGTATACACGTGTCAAGGAATAATAATATTGAACATTTGTTATGACATCAAGACTTGGAACTCGGAGACAGAGTGATGATTGTTGTCGATGAGATTACCTGTCCTGTTGATACCATGGCTAGCTGTGCCTCCATGTTCATCTGCAAGGAAGAAAGAAGAAATTATCAAGTCACAAGAAGAATTGAATCATCAGATGTAGTCATATGCACATTTATAACGTGTTGATCTAATAGCAAATTACATTGAAGAAACAAACCAAAAAAAAAAACAGAGAAATGGGATTGAGAAGCATCTGCACTTAACTTGTACCCTACCTAAGGAAAAAGCCCACTCTCTGAGGCATTGAAATGCTGCATAGACCCAGTTTTCATCATCAATCCTATGGCTTATCATGGACACCAGTACTGCAAATCTACATACATCAGCATCATCAGCAGCAGCAGACTCTTGTTTATAGTCTGATCCTGATGATTCACCAATCTCGTCCCATCTTCCCAAACATGTACTGCAAGAATGATCGGGTCTGCCTCCTGAGCCTAACTCCTTACAGTCTTCTTGTAAATTTCTGAATCTATCTCCTAGCTTATCAATAACATCCATGACAATATAGTCGGAACAGCCGCCAGCTCCACTTGTTAGCTTCTGAATACCACAGCCAAATATATCTTTCTCAAATCTTTCCATTGAGGTTAAGCAGTTTTTTTGTTCCGTGGAATTTAAGTAAATGGCTTTTGTAAGGTTTGCCTGCCGCCCAAGTGCAAAAAGGTATTCTTCAAAGGCTCCTCCACAACAACTATCGTTGATGAAACCTCCCCAGTTGCCGAATTCACAATTTGATTCTTTTGCGGAGGAAGAGTTTTTAATGTCAAGAATGCAATTTGTAACGGAAGTCTCAGAAAATACAAAATCTAGGGTGGCAAACAAAACAAAGGCATATATCATGGAGAGAAATGCTTCATGATTTATCCTTCTAAATGTAGGTAAATCTACAGCAGCCTTACCCATATGAACCTGAGGATAAGAAGGACTAAAGGTGAGATGCCACAGTTAGGCCATTAAATTAGAACCAAGGTGCATGGACGATTGATCTACATCGGCATGCTTCTTAACAGAAGGAAGACCACAACTTTCGCTTTGAAGAAATGTTCTCTTCAGGTGAACTTGGAATGTGGGGTCATTGTGCATCCAGATTCCAGGGAAACCAAGAGACAATATTGCAGTTATAGTTATGAATCAGACCTGTCATTAATTTTTTATAGAACTTGCGGGAAAGAGCTGTGATATAATGTTGTGTAGTTGAATATTTATAAGAGAAGGAGATAGAGACAGTATTGGAATTACTTGAACACCGGATGTACACAAGGCAAATGGCTATAAGGTGCATAAAAGCTTGTCTTTTAGCAACGGGAGAGGTTCTGGTACAACCGGAATTGTTTAATGCCATTTCTCATATCATTTTATAGGCTGATTTTGAAAAGGGTTAGCACATTGTCCAAATAAAGTTTAATTTAACAGCTTATTATGATTAAAAAAATGGTGATTGCCGACTTGCATTATGAAGGAACAACACTTTCGTTGACATTTAATGGTTGATTTAGTCCCCCAAAGGTAGGAAACATGCTGACAAACAGAAAAGAATGATAGTACCAGACGTCGATATCGCTGCTTGAGATTAATTATTGGTTTAACTAGGTACCCTAAGGAACTTCCAGGAAGGTAAAGACTAGAAAGAATAATAAATTAATGTAAGAGAAGTGACGTTACCAGAGAAACACAAGTCAATGTAACAAATCTAATCTTGTTCAACAACGCAAGGGAGTGTTTGGGCTCGGCGGGGGCATAGGTTTGGGACTTTCAGCCACAACAATGTTTGACTCCGAGGCCTGTAAGTGGTGGATGTTGTTGAGCGATGCCAAATTGCCAATACGGAGCGAGATTGGCAATTTGCTATACTATCCGGCTGTTGAAATCCAAATGAAAGTCTACTTCAAAAATTGGAACATGCACTTCAACACTTTCATTCTTTGACCGTTGCCACCTATAAAAACTGGCAGTTTTTGCAGATTGATAAATTGTAAAAAGTGCAAGTCGTAACTGTAATAATGTCAAATCCAAGAATATATCTATTAAATTCAAAAATATAAAATAATCATTAATATTTTTTTATTTAAATGTAGTCGATCGATTATATGAATTTAAATTATCTTAAATTTGATTAAAGATCTCTAAAAATAATAAAATTTGATTTATATTAATAAAATTAAATTTGAAAATTGGTTATGTATAAAAAAAATTTAATACTCTCACAACATTCAAATACTAAATTAATCTTATTTTATTTACGCCTTAATTCAAAGTATTTAACATAAACTCCTTATTTATTCGAAGAGATTTCATTATCAGATTTATTAAACATAACAAATAAACAAATTTAATTACATCCTTTTTATTTTTTGACAAAATATTAATTACAAATAATAATATAAACATATTTACAAGTTTCTAATTATAAAATAATATAATTATACATTTCTAAAACATTCAATTCAATTTTTATTTTTATCAATTAAATCAATAAATCAATGGGTAAAAAAATTAAATCAAAATAAAAACAAATAATAAATAAATAAAACTAGCAAAATAAAATAATTTCATAAAGAAATTATTATCACAAATATTATCTTAAGCCACATTAGACAACAAATAAATATAACATCATATTAAATAAAAAAAAAGTGTATTTAACCAATACTTTTGAACCAACCCAAAATAAAATTTACTATTAAGAAAAATTTTGCTTGACTCTATTTGCTTTAATAATATGTGTTTGACTTTTTTTTTTTTTTTAACTTTGTAATACTTCTTTTTTATTGTCGATTGCTCAATTGTTTGTTATCTTATTAAATTATCAATTATTATTGTGATCTTCTCTTCCAATTACTTATTGATTTTTTTTCTCTCTACTGGAGAACTTTTTTCTCAAAACTTAAGATTTTATATTGCTTGATGATTATAGATTATGTTGCTTTTGGTATTTTTGAGTTTGAAATTAAGTTTCTTATATAGGGATTGAATTTCTTTTTAATTTAAAAAATTTAATAGCAACTCAATCTACCAAGACCTTGTTAAAATTTATTTTCTTTCTTATATAAACTTAATTCTCAAGAATTACCAAAATCAAACTCAACTTTTAAATCACGCACAAAATACATAAAATAGTTATTAGTAATTTGCTAGAAAAAAAAAAGAATTATTTCTTAACCTTTTTGTATATATGACCCGTGCATCTTCATCCTAAGCCATTGCTCCAATTATATATAGATGGCTTTTTTTTTAGATGTATTAGATAATTTAGATGACTCTTATAGACACATAATTTTATTCAAAAAAATTAAAACTTATAAATTTGGATTCATTTCAATATTTTAATTGCGTATTGGGCTCAATTCAATTAAAACAGATTAATTTTACATCGGTTGAGGTCCAGTCCAATTCAAGATTGGGCTTGAGAACCTCAAGCCCAATAATAAAGTCCAAAATACATTTTAAAACTGAATTACATTTTAAGAAAATTGAAAAATATGAAAAAATTAATAAATAAAACAAAAGTTAAAAAACAATTTTCAACTCAGCAAAGGGCTGGGCGGCTGAATCAAGCTGCCAGCCACCATATCACCGCCCACCCTACAACAGAAAATCCGAGACGAATAGTTACCGGCAGAACAACTAAAAAGTCTTCCACAATCCCCCAAAATCTGGGAAATTTGAACTCTCAATTGGCTCTATGATTTGAATCTAAAAACACACTGAGAAAAAAATTTCACAAGTGGAAATAGGAGATCAGAGAAAAAAAACACAGCAGCAAATTAATCAGCTAAAAAAACCCTCCTGGACCCTAAACCGAGAAGCGAGAAATTCTACCACTGTCACCACCTCACCCTATTACACCATTGCCCAACACCATTCATCAGCATCGATAACACTTAACCTGAAATCATCACACAAAACCCAATTTCAACAACACCACAGCAACAAGAAAATAATAGGCAGCAAGAAAAAAAAGAGCATCATCGTTGGTGAAGGGGGCCCGTGGCGACATGAAGTGATTTAGGGAAAACGATGGAAAGGTAAAGCATGGAGAGATGATCAACATACTAAAATTTCAAGCAGATCGAACAACGACGAGATGGCTTTCTGGCAACTTTAAATTTAGAGCCAAAATTTAGATCTAGGATTATCTAAAAGGTTTTTGGGACATCCCAACGGTAAAAATCTAGTGAAAGGTGAGAGGAAGACTCGGTGAAAATTTGGTGGCCATCGAAGGTTTTGGCTTTCGGGTTCTTTCAAATTTTTATGGAAAAATAGGGGTTTTGAGAAAATCTAAATTGTTAGATTGAAAGAGAAGATGGATGGGAGCGTTTTGGTATTTTTTGACAAATTTTCGACACCGGTGACTAGCGGCTAGCAATGGAGTGTAGTAGTCAGCAATGATGCCAGTGATGACTCTAGTGGCTGAAAATCATTTAAAATGAGAGGGAGAAAGATGAGAGAAGGAAGAGAATGAAAAAATGAAAGAATTTTGATGTTTTTAGGCTATTTATTCCATAATCAAAACGACATAATTTTGATTAAAATTGTAATCAAGCTACCAAATCAAGCCGAGAACTGAGCTGAGCCGCAAAGTCGAACTGTTGAGTGTGGATCTAAGCCAGTTGACCGAGCTGTTTCATTATGGACCGAGCCGTCGACTAGCGTTAATTAGGAGTACTTTCGATATTTTATTTCCTAATTTTTTTATTAATTTTATTTTATAATTGTTTATTTTATTTTTTGTGTTGTACTAAAAATATTTTTAAATTTGTGTTGAAAAACAAAACAAAATGTTTAAACTTATTTAAAACAAATTTGAAAAATGCTAAGAAAAATTGTTGAAATATCAATCATTTACTTAGAATAAATTTTTGCAAATATTAAGAAAAGAGTTGAAATATCAATTTTTTTAATTTTTTTGCAAATAAAATAAAATAAAATAAATAAATAATTTTTGTTTTAAAAAATGCTATGAAAAAAGTTAAAATATTAATTTTTTTCTAAATTCTTTGAAAATAAAAATAAAAAATTTGTTTTAAAAAATGCTAAGTAAAAAATTGAAATATCAAAATTTTCTTAGAATAAAATTTTGAAAATATTCAAAAAAAATTGAAATATCCATTTTCCTAAATTCTTTAGAAAGATAAATAAAAAATTTTGCTTTGAAAATTGCTAATGAAAAGGTTAAAATATTAATTTTTCTTTAGAATATTTTTTTAAAAAATATGTTTAGAAAGAAATTGAAATTCAATTTTTTCTAAAACTAAAAAATAAAAAATTTATCTTTTGAATCTTGCAGTGATTGAATTACTAGAAAGTTACAATAACAACTCCTCCGTAAATTCCAAGATAAGTTATTATTTCTTAATATTGCTAAAATATTCGAATATTTAAAAACTTTTAATATAAAAAAATTCTAATAAAAATGTTTTTAAATTTGACAACATAATATCTTCAAAAGTAATAATAGATATTTTGAATATTTTTTAGATGAAAAAATATTATTAAATTTTTATTAAAATATTATCAAATTTTTGTTAAAATATAAGAGTAATTTAAGAATAATTTTTAATATCAAAATTTTTTGAAAATATTTTAAAAAAATTTTACTAGACTTAATAAATAACATAAAATTAATTAATATCATTTTTGGATGAATATTTTGAGGATATTATAATTTTTTTCATATATAATCATATTTTTAAATTTAATTTTGATTTGCAGACCAATAAATTTTTAATAAATTTTAAAGTTTATTTAAAAATAAAATTAGTCTTGGTTTTGTGTCTAATGATCCAAAAATCACTATGATAGCGCTTTTCCTTGGATATATTACCCATTTAAGAACTTCTGAAATGGCAGATTACATTTGATTAATAATCTGAAATCATGATTCATTTACTCATAGCTTTCGGTGAATTAATT